ACACACACACAATACGGGTGTGCGTGCGTGTCGTGGACGCATTGGTCTGTCTGTCTGCACACACACCGCAACGCAGGAGCGATGAGTCGGAGACGAGCAAAGGCAGGAGCACCGTCCTGGAGAACGTCATACACGGGCTGGAAGTGAGGGAAGGAACCTGACTGACCCACCTGCACTCACTGCAGCCATCAAAGATGCACACAGATATATAACCCATATATCTGCCTGTGTGTGTGTGTGTGTGTGTGTATATAATGTGTGTGTGTGCAGACTGCGAGTAAGAACGTGTTGCGTATGATGGCTGAGGGAGTGAAGCGGAGCTCGTCGTCACTCATGCAGCACACCAGGAACAGACTGGAAGAAACACACGTACACACAACGCAGCCAGACAGACACGTCACACACCACACCACACTCATCCGTCTATCTTTGTGTGTCTGTGTGTTTCTCTAGTCTCTGATGGAGGAGTGCATCAAGACGCTGCGCCATTCTGACGGGCTTCTCGACATCGACGCCAACCAACAGATGAGCAAGAACGCATCCTCAATGGTACATCACATCACTGCGCCCAGCCGTCCGTCCACACGCAGACGACATTTACACACGTGTGGTGTGGTGTGTCTGTCTGTCTTGTGCTTTGTGTTGTGTGTGCAGGAGCGCATATTCCACCAGCAGATCTTCGCCTCCACTCAGCGGTATCACTTCGCCTCCACACCCAGGATGAGAAACAAAGGCGGGAACAGCCCACGAGACATCGTACGTACAGCATCATGCATACCACAGCACAGCACACCACAGCACACAGAAGACGTCTGTGTGCATGTGTGTATGTGTGTATGTGTGTGTCTGCTATGCAGTCGTTGACGATCCACGACGACCCCCTGGCGCACAGCGACACGCACTCCTCCCCCGACGAGCACACCACACACAACCCAGACACACTAGTCAGCCCGCCGTCAAGGTCATCAATCCTCCACACTCGCACAGACAGACGTACAGAGATGCGCAACGTGGCTGTCCTGTCTCTGGTGTCTGTCAGGAATCGTCCGCTGACTCTGAAGATGCGTCGCGCGAGCACCAGTGCTGGCGGCCACTCGTCGTCTGTATCAGCCCAGCACCACAAGAGCGAGCGTCTGCGCCGGTCCCCCACGCCCCCCGTCTACGACAGCAGGAGGGAGCCCCTCGGTGCCAGCACATCCTCCAGCAGCCTCGTGGCGCTCAAGCAGCCGCCCAGGAGGTCGCAGACCTCACCCGCACTCGGCACTGACGTACGCGATCATGGATGGACGGATGGACTGTGGGTGTGTCGTGTCGTTGGGTCAATTGCAATCACTGCGTGTCTGTCTGTCGCGTGTCCCTAGGGTATTGCTGGTGGTGGTGGCGGGGATGACACGTCGGCCGACGGCTGTCAGAGAGACGAAGTGGACGTCTGGGTGGAGAAGGCAAAAACGGTAAGTCCGTCCGCCCGTCACACGCGCACACGCCTCGCCTGGCCTCATGCCTCTCTGTCTGTGCGGTGGGGTCCATGCCATGGCATGCAGACCAAGTTGCAGGCGGGGTTTTCGCACGAATGGAATTGGGACACACTCAAGGCGGGGGAAGACCTGGGCAGGACACCGGGGGGCACACAGGTACACACACACACACACACAGACACACAAATCGACACGTGCGTGGCGTTATCTCTCGCTGGCCGTTCTGTCTGCAGCTGTTGGTTAAGGTGGGTTTTGAGTTCTGTTACCCCATCGTGGCCCTACTCAACGACGGCGCACCGCACGCACGACAGGACGGTGGTGCGGGGGGCGGCGGGGGCGGTGTGGGGGAGAAGAAGTTCTACCACATGTGGCGCAGCGAGGGTCGCCTCAAGCACGACGAGCTGGCAAGGCGGCTTACGCACTTCCTCAAAGACGTCGAGGACGCCTACATGCCCAACCTATACCACAACTTCGTAAGTCGTGTGAGCAGCCTGCCCTGCTGGCATTGGGATCGTTTTTTGTGTGTTGTGTGGTGTGTGTTGTTTGTAGTGGCATGCGGTAGAGGTGTGTCACTCGTCGGTGTATCTGGTGCGTCAGCTGGGCATGTGGGAGAGCGAGGTCTTCACCGAGATCGACCAACTGGCACTCGCCATGGCCGCCCTCTGCCACGATGTGCGTGGGCACCAACTGCAACCCAGCCACACACACAAGGAAGGAC